GCCCCTCCCCCCCCCCCCCCGTCTCCATGTGCTTTCTGTGTCTGTACATTTGATAGCACCTATTTTCATTTTAAGCAAACAGTTGATATTGGATAAGTCAGCATGTGGAGAGAGCTGGGAAGGGAGGGAGGCAGGGAGGCAGGGAGGGAGGCAGGGAGGGAGGGAGGGAGAAAGAAACAAGTCCTGGGAAGCAGCTTTTCTTTTTCAGCATTTGTGTTTGTATGTGTTTGTAGGATGAAGGACACCAGCAAGAAGAATAATATATTCGCCCAGTTCCGGAAGAACGACAGAGATAGGCAGAAGCTGATAGAGACGGTGGTGAAACAGCTCAGAGGCTTGGTGACTGGTATGTCCCAGCACATGTAAACATGTCCATGAGTGCGTCTCCATGGCCAGCACTGGTCATGAGACAATAATTTGTTTACAGAAGTCAGAAAATACGGTAGAGGAAATAAACTGATGAGGGCTTAAACAAGTATTGGTAACAAACATCATTTGTATGGATTTTTAAATAATTGAATACTATTTTATATATAAAAATGTAAGATTAATTTTTTTCAATTTCAGAGGAAAAATCGAAAGTGTAATATATAAATCCAATAAATTGTGTATGAAACTGATTGCAAATATTAGAAAAACTTGTGTTTCTGCTTGTAAGTATTCTTTCTTCTCTTGAAGCCGGAAAAAGCTCCTGTTGTGTCATTATAGTTTGGGGCACAGCTGCTGCTGAAAAGGGAATATTTGGCTATCGTTGTTGGATTTTTAGCTTTTATTTTCACCTTAGTTTGACTCATGTGCCTAAAAATTTTTGTTCTGCTGATTCTGAGGAGGAAATCTACAAATCTTGACAGTTCCTGAAGCCAAACACAGCTCACCAGGAATGTAAATTATTTGTTATATTTGGATAGCTTAATCATTCTGAAAATGAAGATAATGGTTTGGATTTCCTAAAGATGTAGTATTTCTTGTAGCTGACCCCATGTTAGAGTTTTAGTTTGGTTTAAGTTAAAGACAAGCCTGTCAAGGGGCTGTTTACATCAGGTGTGGCTGTCCTAGTGTGAATGTGTTCTTCCTGCTTAATGAAGTTACCACAGGTTCGGGTGAATGTGCTCCAGATAGTATATCTCAATGCTATAGACTGTGGAACTCAGCAGATGAACTGCACTCTGGAACCTACAGCAAATGTACATTTTCCTCTGGATAAATCAGTGACAAGAATGCGATGTAAACTTGACCATTGTTTTCTCTCCACTGTAATTATGCTAAAAGTACCCTTTGCATTTTCTGGATTTATGCCTGTAGACTCCTGACTCTGTAAAATAAGTATGACCAGCTATGCTTACATGTCTGGATTTTGTGTTGAACATTAAAAAGGTTGGGAGTTGTTGAAGATGCTATTTCAGATATTCAGAGCTTCTCATTTTAAACGGCCACCTCCAGAAAAGGCCTATTATTCCCTAATTATCAGAATATGCATGGCACAAAACAAAACATATTTGTGCTCTTGACAAAATACTCAAGTATTTAACATTTTGAACTTTTACAGGAAAATACGATAATTCTTCAGACACAATGCATATAGGTTAGGTGTGGTGAGCTCTGAAGATGCCCCTCACTCGCTGGGTACTTGGAAAGGCTCCTGGTTTTGGCCCAGGCACCTGGGGATTTGGAAAGAGGAAACTCCACATCCCCTGGAGCA